CAGGTTTAAAGAAGAAATTGAGGGTGAATAAGAGGTGTGAAAGCTGAGGCTGTAGGGAGCTGTGGATACAAGATCCGGGGAGCTGAGTGTAGGCAGCCGCAGGGCTGTGGAGCAATTACTGTTTCACAGGGGCACACATGGGTTTCGTGTTGCTGGAACAAGCAGTGGGGCAGCAGAACCCTGCATGTGCACGGCTCCTGGCACTGCAGAAACGCGCTGGGGCAAAATTACCACACTGCAGAGGAAGTTAAAACACAGAGGCCAGGCTGGGAACACGTGGCCTTAAGAACTCCAAGACGTTTTAGTGCTGGGCAGCAGGCTTTCTAAAAGCCTTCAAATAATTGCAACTCCTCTTCTGTAAATAAGGTAGCTTAAAAGCAAACAAAGAAACAAACAAAAAAAAAAACCAACCCAAAACAAATAAGCAGAAAAAGCAATGCAATTGTCCTACCTCTGAGCTTGATTTCTTTTCACCTGATCCACTTATCCAGAGCACAGGAAAACATTAACTCTTATGCACACGTGCATTAGGAACATTTGCACCAGCCAGGCCGCCTCCTTTGATGTGCATTTCCATCTCCCCTCGTTTCTTCTGCTGCCTAAAGCCTACTGCTGTGAATAGAAACACTCTTGACATATTATTTCCAAAAGCCAATATAAACACCTCATGGAATACCAGCAATTCAAAATGCTCCGTTTCCTCCTGCTAACTTTGTCATTCCCTAAACTATGAGCTATGTGGCCATAAAATGTGTCTCTTCCTGAGGCACTGCTGCAAGTATTGTGGTCCCTTCTGAAGAAATCTGATAGCTTGGTGAGAAAGCCTTTTGGGTTTGGTGAGCCCACTTCATTCACATTGAACAAAACATATACATTTGATATGGCAGCAATCTCTTGGGTGGGAGGAAGAAAAAAGCAAAGCAAAGCAAAGCAAAGCTTCTTTAATAGCACTCCAAAGTGGCAGTTTATCAACTCAGACAGTAAAGCGAACATAAGTGACAAACTCCATGAATCAAAACAAAATCAGACAATTGGCCTATGCCTATAGATGTAGACTCAGCTCAGTGAAATGAAAAGGGCAACTTGTTCCAGAAAATTGGCTGCTAAATTTGCTAAACAGATTATTGGTCACACACCTGCCACAGGACTACATTGAAAAGGAGTCCTCCACACAAGTATACTTAATAAAGGAGACAGTAAGGGAATCCAGTGCACATCTGCATTTGGGGTTTTCTCCCCTCCTTGAGCCCTCTGCGATCACACCAGCCCTTCAGCTTTAAGCTGCCCCTTGCTGCTGACTGGGTCCCCAAACCGGGAAAAGGAGCAGCCAGGCAGAACTCCCCTGCCTGCAGTCCCATTTTGTGGGGAGGAAAGGCACTGGACTGTGCTCTTGGGAACAGAGCCAGTGGGACACAGCTCTTGGCAGGTGCCCACGGCCGCCAGCCAGAAGCATCTCCTCAGCCACGCAGGCAGCACAGCATTCCCACTGGGAAGCAGGTTCTCTCCACCTACAAGCACAGGCAGCAGAATGTGCCCTGAAGGAGTCAAAGAAATCACTACAGTTTGTATGCTGATACACTGACATGTATTATATTTTCCAGGAAAATCTTATCTCCCAGTCAAGATAAATTAAATGATGTGTCTGAGGCAACTTCTATTAATAAGTGAACTTTGCTCTTTTGTAAGGAAGCTTTCAATTTTATGTTGCTATTTTTACTCCAAGTACATTTAAAAACACGAGGATCAACTACCTCAGCCCACTTGGATACATCATCTTTGATAAAATCCCTGACGCCTTAGGCAGAACAACTTTTTAGATTATCCATATGTAAACACACATGGAAAATGCTTGTACAAAAGATCTTCAAAAGCAAAAAGTTGAAATTATTTTAATACCTATATTTTCTTTAAAAATTGAGAGAAAATATTTGTGGTACTTTTTCTTCAGAAGTTTGAAATAACTCATTTAAAACAAACCTCCTTTTCCCTCAGAGGTGCTCAAAGCAGGTAATTTGAAAAACCCTAGAGAACATGTTCTAGAAAAAAAACAAAATCACAATAATGCTTTCCAAACTGGTACAAGTGACAGAAAATGTAGGTTTTGATGTGTAGAATGGACTACTCCAAGAAGACAGAGTATCTTCTTGCACAACAAGGTATTCTGTTTGATTGTAATAGTCTGTAAATAGTGGCACTATTTTGCATCCTTTTCACCTCAGGAGCGTATTTTTGAAAAAATAGTCAGAGCACTTACCTCCCCTTTCAAGCACAACATTGGGAAACTATATACCTATGCAGAAGCTCTCTAACATGTGAAAAACCTCAGAGCTAAGGCTTCAGCAGGAGGGGCTCCAACAAGAAGGAAGTATCAAACTAGAAATATACACATTTACAAGTACCAAGTGTTAATTTCTCATGGCAATTCTGCCCTATGGAGCAACAGAAAGGGTCATGTGCTTGTGCTGAGTGCAAGGCCAAACAAATTCAAGAAAGAATGGAATGGCACCTTAGAGGAGGTCTAATTTATGTGAGAACATTTTAGCAAGTTATTTGTACACCTATTTACATGGGACTGTTCCTGCTTTTTTCAAGTGTATTAGAGAAATTCAAAAGCCCATTAACTTGCCATTGTTTAAAACACATGGCCATGTATGTGTTTGACAGCACTGTCCTCTACAAGGTGCAGTATGCAAAAAAAATAATAAAAAAAAGAAAGAAGAACCCAAACAGATCCGGGTTTCATAATAATTAAGATATTGACCCATTAAACTAAATTTCATTTAACCTGGGGCTAAGCAATATGCAGGCAGTGATTGAAAGTTCTTACATTACCCACAGAGCTCTTATACGGCCAAATTACCCTCTGTTCTCAAGAGAGCAAATTTGCTGTGATGATTCACATCCTGTTTTGAATCGACAAACACAAGTGCTTCCTCCTAACTGGATGTGGTAATTTCTTAAGCAAAATACCATTCTTTAGGGATACAATTTGATTTTTTATTTCATTCTGATCAGAGTGTGAAACAAAAATATGATCAAAATTTCTACACTGCTCTGGAAAGAGAGGCTATTGGAGTGTGCTCAGTAAAGCTGTCAGAAAAAAAGGGCATTAAATAACAACAATGGACCTCAGAGAAATTAACTGTATCTCTTTATTGTTAACCAATGAATGTTATCCAAAATAGTAGATGTAATTGTAGCTTAATTGTACAACACAAAACATGATGCTAAAGGAAAAAGCATGTGGAAAATTACTTCACCAAGTAATCATTAGATGTATTCTTAGTATTTCTGCACCAGTAAGTGTTCCCAACTGCTGGTGACAGCAGCTATTACCACTTTGTTCATTGTGAAAACCTGTATTACAAATGGTTGTTCCTGGTTGTTTGAATAAAAAAAAAAAAAAAAACAAAAAACCCACACAGCTTTATAAATGGATCTAATCCATTTAGCCCTACTCTACATGTTGTAGATTTATGAACAACAATCTTTACTGATGTTTTTTCCCAACACTGAAACTGATGGATCAGTGTTAGTGCACACTTTTCAGGAAAAAATGAAAACTCACTGGAAGCACAGTATTTCACCTGCCATGGCAAACTGTTCAAATACTTCCAAAATTTGCTTAAGCTTCAGTGTATGAAGCCTGTGAAACAAAAACTGTTCTTACAATGCACTGCAAGTTGAAACACCAACTTCCACCAAGCAGCATTTTGAAGCATGTGCACAGCATCTGCACATCAGTCTTCAAGGTCAAGCAGATATGTTTAGCCCCACAAACCAAAAATATATTAATGTATCTTTATTTAATTTTCATGATGTCACCCCACATAGCCAAACTTCTACTCCACAAAAAAAAACCCCAAACTTAGTTCGGACTGTTCATGAGAAATTTAGACCTATTGTGCATGGAAAAAATGTTTAATAAAATGGCAAATTTTAATAGATAAGTGTAAATTTATGAGTGCATAATAACAAACAGAAAAAAAGCTGAACCATCCTCAGAGAAACCTAGGTTCTTCCACTGTCGATATTTACTGGGGTACTCTAACATAGGGAGTAAGTGAAGTCCACATTAACTGTGAAGTTATCACTAAAGTTCAATTTCTAAGCAAATTTCTCAAAATAACAGGTTTCCTTTTCAAGAGGGAAAGGACTTAATAATCTGACATCAGATACGACAATTAAAATACTAGCTTCACTGAAAACTGAAGCTACACACACTTTTACTCCAATTCTCGGAAGTTTCATTTTGTATTTGAAACCCAAACTGACTGACACACACATTCTACACCCCTCCCAGAATATAGTATACCAGTGACAGGTTACAGCTTTAAAACACACCAGATGCTTTTACAATTTAAACTCAACAGAAGGCAGTTAGACAGTATTTAGCACTATAAATCCATCATAAACTCCAAAATAAAATTCTAGGAGTAAGGGCTCCTAGAAATCTGAGATGTTACTTTGTAGTGACAGTCAATTTAAACAGTTTTTTCATGGTGTTTGAAGGACCAGTCATCATGTACATAGTAGTGAGGTAGGATACTGTCCCCTCCCTGGGACTGATGTTTTCATATGCTCCCTTGCCAGAAAGGTCCAGGTCTCCCTACTGCAAATAATTACAAGCAAATAGCACATAAAGCTTGTTTATTTTTTCCCCTCTTTGCTGCATTGGAACATTTTGCACATCTAAAATAATCAGCTAGGAAAAGCAATACTTAGTCAAGCCTATCAGCAGTCATGTGCTGCCCACAGGTAGTGTTCCATTAAAAAAAATTTCCTGGAACTACCACCTGCCATCCAGACCTTTGTGAACAGGCAGGCAAAGAAAACCATCAATGATGACAGGACATGAAACACCAAAGAATTTCACTTGGGAGGAAAAAAAACCAAAACAAAACCAAACACAAAACCCCTCAAAACAAAACAAGAAAAAAAACAACCAAAACTGAGAGTGAGCAGTATCAAACTCTTGATGGAGTAGCTACATTGAAAACTAATTTCAAACTTCGTACTTCAATTATACCTATCCAGTTTAGGTACAGCTCCATTCTTCTTTCTACTTCTTATTGTTTAAGCAATATATACATTTGTCAGTCATTATATACTTCACATCTGTTTCCAAAGGGGGGAAAAAAAACAAATAAAAAATGAAACTGAAAACACAATGGGGAAAAACCTGCTATTAACCTCCACACCCTCCCCCCACCCAAAACCTAGGGTTAAACAGACTGCCTTACTGTTGAATAGCTTCCCCTAAATTTGTCTTCTAGTCACTGTAGTCAACCTGGTATTAAGTGCTTTGGCAAAGTGGGGTGCAATCCATCAAATCTGCAAAGGCCTGTTTTTTTTCTCTGTTGGTGGTTCAGCTTTACGAGGAACATATATGCAAAATACCAGCTCTCACATTGCTTCAAACTCATCAATACGCTGCTTTGTATTGCCTTGTCGGATTTGCCGGAGAGTCTTGTACTTATCGCGGCCTGCTTTAACATTCTCAGCATGAAGGACATCGTTTTGTGTTTTCTTGGTTTCATCTCTGGCTTGAGCCAACTCTGAACTTAAAGCCTGTTGAATAAAATATTTAAATTTAAGTGCTTTGACTAATCCTTTAACAGTTCTGGAGTTTCTGATAACAGCTATTCTGCAATCTGGATAAAAATTTCTTGAATGCCAACCTATGGAATACTTGTTGTGCTCCTCAGTAACTTAAGTTGTGAGGTCTACCAAAAGGAATGCAGAAGGAAAGATAAGGAGAGCATAGGATTCTTTCCTTACATGAGTGTAAGCATCAAACTACTAAAAAAAAAACCAAAAAAACCAGCCTCATACACCACAAAATCCAAGAAGAAAGGCACCAGCAGGATAAAGCAGGAAAACGACCTTATTTTTCAATTTTTGTTTAACTAAAGATTTATCTCCCTGATCTGATCAGTGACTGACCAAGCAAGAATACTACACCATACACACTACAAAGACAATGCTGCCAGACAAAGTAGCAGCTTTCCTTTTCTTCTGTTTTCTTCCCAAATAAACATTTCATAATCAGGAAAAGGGCTATTATAGATTATTGTGCTTCAAGGAGAAAGACACAGCCTGGGAGGACTTGCTCTGTCTCAGGGAAATAAGAGTAATCCAAAATGGGTGCAATTTGACTTTCTGCATTTACAACACCTGTGAACGAGTACAAACAAATACTATCAAGCAAGCATCTGTTCATATCACTTAATGAGTTTTGGTATTGGAAAAGGAAAGCATTATGTTTTAATATGCAGAGTTCTGGAAATCATGTAATTATTAGAAATGTTTACTGGCCAATGCAATAGCACACTCACACTTTTAAGCTATAAAGCACAATCTTACATCCAGTATTTCTATATATTCCACTTTTAGAACATTATGAATTATATTGGTTGGTAAATTGGTAATAAACCTAATAAATGATAAAGAAGCTGTTTCCTTGGCAGACCATAATGTCAGTGAAATTTCTTACAAAAGAAGGATGAAAACCCAAAGCCTGAATTGTGTTGATACAACTATGAATCTTCATTACCTGGAGCTGTTTCTTAACACGTTCATTTTTCTGTGTTTCTGTTACCCGTTCTTCCTCACTCCTGTGATTCATGACACCATCAGAAGACAGTTCTGCACTGGCTTCAGCATTGTTCTCATCGTGTTCATCGTGTTCATTCTCTGTTGGAGGAATAACTGGTGGGGGTGGAGGTGGAGGAGGAGCAGACATCACAGATTTCAATTCTTCTTTGGTCTTTTCCAAGTCCTCTTGGGCTGCAAAAGCCTGAATACAGTAAACACTACTTAGCATCTTTTAAAATTATTTATCAAGAGTCAGAAAAATAAAAATAAATATTTGAGATGTTCTCAAGACACATGAAACTGTTCTTTATAAGTGACATGACTGGCTTACACACTGAAAATTGTCAAATAGAGACACAGAGTAAAAACCAGATATGGCTCAAAATAAGCTGTACTAGAGTCCAGCTTACTTCCAGCAGTAGACAAGAGAAAAGTGAAAGAATAGGGCAAGAATACCGATTGTTTTCTAACTTTCCCAGCTTCCTGAAATTTAAGGCTCGGGGATTTCCTAGATCAAAGGTGATGTCTTCAAATTTCATACTTAACCAGAACTCATGAAAATTTGTTCAAATCCTTCTGGAACCCATGCACAGTAACTATTCACATTCCATAGCTAATTACAGATTTTATGAAGAAATACTTTGCTTTAAATTTTTGTCCAGTTGCATTTCACATGTCTTTGTTAAACTGTTTTGGTTATCTTTCTATCAAATCTCATGATTTTATACACCTCCTATGTTTTTCTCTCTAACACAAAGCTCCGATCTATTTCATCATCACACAAAAGGAAGCCATTTCTCATCTCTGACCATACCTTTGTGATGAGTTTCCCCCCTGCTTCATGACTATGTAATATCAAGAAATGAGTTAAACAGAAGCATAGGCTGGCTTCAGTAGACTGGAGGACAAAAACCCTTAAGACAGACTTTTCTGAAGCCTAAGGGAAAGAGAGAGATTTGACCCCACGGACTTCTAGTGAGATCTCCGCACTCATTTCCCTCAGTTTCTTTGAAGTTCTGACTTCACACAGAATGAGCTCATTACTTTGTGCTGCCATTCTGAAGCTTCCTCTTCTTTCTTTTTCTTGGCCTCCTCTAGAAGTGCAATCTTGGCTGTGAATTCAGCAATTTCTGCTGCCTGAAACAAACAAAAGAACAAAGTAGAAGTTTTAATTTTGTATCAGTCTGGCTTTGCAGTAGAAGAAAACAGAGCCTTTGCTATGATCCAGCTTGAAAAGAGTTAGTTACCATCTATCACTTCTCTGTGAAAAATAGAAATTTTAAGCATACATGACAGAGGGAATGACTCAGAGTGCACTTGCCTAACGGAAATAAGTCCAGAAAAAAAAATTATCTTCTGCACTTCCAAAGCTTGCTGGGAAACAGCAAGCTGTCATTACAAACAAGCATTTCAGGCTATTTCAATCTAATACAAATTTAATGGTCCCATCATCAAGATTACGATTCTGGATCATAATCTCAGTACTAAAGCTAAATATTGCCATCAGAACTATGTGCTAACCTTACAGAAAATCAAAAGCTCATTTATAATTGAGAAATCATTTCTTCTATTTTCACAACTTTCTTGATTATTATGCACAAATCTTGAGTTAGAAGTAGTCTAACACAGAATGTGAGAAGACACTACAAATACTGGCAAAGGGAGAGAAAAAGCAACAAAAATACCCAACAAACCCCAGTGTCATCAACTTTCCCCCAACCACCATCAAGTTTCAGAACAGGCCTGCCTCAGAGAACAGGCTTCCCAGTGGGCTGCAGAAGAAAGCTACTCTTGTTCTCAGCTGGATAAGTCTGAGACTATTAGAAAGAGAATGTAATAGGTGTTGTCAGTCTGAAAGGTGGTGGTCATCTTTTAATCTCCTACAGGTCCAGGGTTTTATTTTTGTCTTGCAAAGGAGTGGCAAGTCTAATGCAGTTTTCTAAAACAGTTCCCACAACACTCTCTAACAGTATCTCAAGTACTTCTGTGTTTCAATGTACTTCTTCATTTGACATAAACAAGGGTAAAGGCTAAATTTTCAACTGCCTTTTCCAATTTTAAGCCTATTTTGAGGAAAAAAAACCAAAGTTTCTTACTAGCTGCTCCTGGTTCTTCATTTGGTCAGCTGCCTGCTTGGCTAGAGCAGCTTTGGCTACTTCAGCTGCTCGACGCTCTTTTTCCAAGCGTTCTGCTTCCTCTTTTGCACGCTTCCGTTCTTGATCCAGTTCTAGAGCTCTTCGAGTCTGTTCCTCTAGCTCTGCCAAGAGGAAAGTTTGCAGACAAGGTATCACTACCTATCTCTTCCTCATATGCATCACAGATGCCAGCTGTAATATGACCAAAATAAAGTAGCCTAGAACACTAACCCAGAATTACAAGACCACCTCAAGAAAAGCTGTTGAGCACATCACCCAGAGCTCTATTCCATGTCTGGTTTCCCCTCCACTTTAAGACATTCTTTGGATATACTTCATCTCATCTGACATTTCTGACAGCCTAATGTTTCAGAAAAGTGTCACCTTGCTGATAAAACTAAACATCCAAATACATGTACATATACATGCACATGTTCCTAGTATGAGGATATTTTATGTGCATCAAATCACTCTTAAAGAGAGAAAAAAAACCTTCCTTATTGAAATGCCTGACAGATTCCTTAATTGCAGCTGAAAATTTAGCCACATGCCTTCAGCAGAATGACTTAAGACCCAATGGAAGGGTAAGAAAAATTCTTTGTACATCAGAGGGGGAAAATTTAAAATCAAGGGAGAGATAATAGCTGCCTAGTTGCCTACATAGCAAAATACTGAAATCTAAAGGGCAGAACCCTTAATAAAATAGGAAGAAGTAATAATCTAAGAGTACTGCACGGTTAGGTTTACACAAAATTATTCTCCTCCCCTAACGAGAAAAAGTAGGTGACCATGAAAAAAAGTCTTTCTAAAGCTCTTTCCTGGTTCTAGCGATAAAATTTTCACTATGGTCTTTGCTAGGCACAGCTATCATAGATTCTCCTTCAACAGAAAACCTAAACAACCACTCATTTTTTCCAACAATCCATTTGCCTTCACCATAAGCTTTAACACTATAAAAGCACCTCCCCAGGTACGCTGACATGTGCTTCATCTTTGCACTTCTAGTTTTAAGTAGTAATGTAACCATTATTCTTCAGTTGGTTTCCTAGGCCCACTACTACTTCAGTTATAAAATTAAATTAACAGCATCACAAGCATATGGGGTTCTACAAATTAAATAAAACACTACTCAAACAAATCCTCACATGAAGATGGAGAACACAAAATTAACACAGACCATTTATATAATTTTCCATGCGTGCACAGAAGGCTAAAAAGACCAACAACACATTAACATTCTGTATTGCATCAGAAATTAGGATACATTGCTTACAAAGTTATGAGAAAACGTGTATTGACAAACCTCCAGAATCACCCTGACATTGTTTTGACCTGGGTGAAATAGCTCTCCCTAAACAATTCCATGGCACAGTTAGTGTGTTACCTGTCTGGATGTGTCCAACCTGTTCTGCAATTAAAGATTGAAAAATGCAGGAGTAGAGCTGGAGAGCAGTGCAATTTACAAATAAATGTAATTTATTTGCATACAGTTAATCAGCGATTCTCTTTATGATACTTGAAGTCAAGAGTTAAGTAAAGAAAGGAGCGACAAAATTTTTATGAATGTGAACCAAACCTGAAGTAGGAAAAAAAAAAAAACAAACATGGAGAGGAGGGACTGGAAGTCATGGAGGCAGGGACTCTGCAGGGTGATTAAACACACAAAAAAAAAATATCATTTGTCACTCATGTCTGACAACACTTTAGTTTTCAATTTCTCAAATTTTACAAGGGAATAAGAAATGAGGAAGGAACCTTTCAACTCCAGGTGTTCAGCACTTTAAGCATTTCATAATTCTGAATTTAACTGTGTATATGCATTAATTTTCTTTTTAATAATCAAAACTTTTCCTGTATTAGAAATCGGTTTTATATTAAAAAGATACAGACAAAAGCATGCACACCATCATTTAAACACTAAAAAAGAATGTCTCTCATACCAAATAAAACCCACTAAATTCTTGTCACTATTAGTAAAAGAAATTTAGCCCTCCTCACAGAAATTGTAGAACTGAACTACTCAGCTAAACTAAACACTGTCACCAGATTTAAGAAATCTATGACCTCACCTTTCTGAGCTTTCATTGTTTGCTCCTCAATTTGTCTTAAGCGCTCCATTAATTCCTCCTTTTCACGCTCTATTCTTTCCTTTTCCTTTTCTGCTATCTCCCTTTTTTTCTTCTCATTTTCTAATTGTGCCCTGAAAAAAAGTAGTAAAAAGGTTTTTTCACTCTCCAACATGTTAAATGGTACTCTTTGGATGCAGGTAGCCAATTTCTCAGTTTACTCAGCTAGCAGGGAAGGACAATTTTAAACGTCTTCTAATTCAGTTTCTGCTTCAAAATACTGTAGAGAAAAACAATTTATGAACAGAACTGATAATCAACCTTAGTTATGGCTCAGCCAGGTAAATCCAGAATTATATCTGCATTTTAGACATGATGTTTCATCTGGGCTAGAAATGGCAACAGTATTTTTTAAATGCACAAAAGGTAAGCCAGGACATTCTTCACGGAACTTGCTTTAAGGGCTCACCCCAGGAGTATAAAATTCTCTAAGATTGAAGCAACAGAGAAGTAAGACTTGCACAAAATACGTAACGGGGAAAAACAGTACAGCTACTCTTACTGTGCTGAAAGCTCAAAAAAGATAACGTTTTATATTAAGACAGGGGAACCATGCCAATTCACAAACCTGCTAACATAGTGCAGAAAGAAAAGCAGTTCTCTCTTTACTAGAGTTCTAAGATACACGATATTCTATGACATCTTAAAGAGGTAGAAATTTTTTCTGTTTCATGGAAGTTTGTTAATTACCTTTCCAATTGTTTCTGATGTTTCTCTTCTCTAGCTTGGGCCTTCATCTGTTGCACTTCAATTGTATCAGGTTTCCTCCGCCTCATGTACAATTCATGATTTCCCATACACAGTGCCAAAATTCGCTTGTTAATTCTCAGACGAGGTGCATAAAAAACAAAATCCTAGGAAAAAAAGTAATTCCAGTATATCTATTAACCTAAAAAAAATACACTTATGACAAGATTCAAATCATTACTTCATTCTGGCATTGGTTAAATGAACACTTACAAGTATTCTGGTATTTTGAACAAGCAAACGCCATAATCTATAAATCTAGTTACTGTCAGAAACTTGTAAGATAAATTTAAACTTGCACCTGGAATAATCCAAAATTAGCTGGTTTATATAAAATTATTTAAAACTTTAAAAAATGAGACTATTCTCTACTCTATTCTAAAGTCATTTGACCTAGAAAGTCTCATGAAATGTGCTGTTGTAATTTAAAAAAAAAAAAAGAAAAAAGAAAAACAAAAGAGGAAAGAGGTAGAGAATTTAGCACCTTATGCTGCCATTTCAACACATCACAAAGTATTAGTTGACTTAAAACCAACCAACAATTTAGGGGTATCAAACAGAATGAAAAGAGAGAAATTAAACATACAATATTTCAAAATGAACATTTTCTTTTGATTACTGACTATTCCATCAGTAAAAGTAGTAAATGTCACCAATATCCACTCATGCCTTAATGCCAGAGCAAGTCCTTGCAATTTTAAATCCCTTCATACAGCAAGTGATACTACTGTACACACTACTTACAGGGGCCTTCTTGTCAATTGGCTTTATGACAAATTTTTTGTCATTAAAAGAGATGTTTCTTATTTCGCTCCAAGGAAATCCAATCTTGGGTGTCAGCCTTCAAAGAGAAGAAGTTCTCATTAGAAGCAGCAAGGATGTGCACTCCATGTATGTATGAATTCAATACAGCTTACATCTGTACCAGTCTCACTATTACACTTAGCTACATTTAGAATATTATATCTAAAACATTATGTTTTAATGTAAACATTAACAACAGTTCAAGCATATTTTGGAAGATTTTTCTTTTTACAGATATTCCGTCAAATTAATTACATTTTAATAAATTACATGGCATTGTAACAAAAGGCATTTTGATTTGTGACTTATTCTGCTAGTATTACCTAGATGCCAAACATCAAGGTCATGTAGCCATTCTTTATATGGCACTGGTAACTGTATTTTCACCTGAAACAGTAACTATTTAATTGTGAGAAATTGACATTTCAAATACTGCAATTAAAGTAACTTTCAGCCATGTTGTACTTCTGTTTAGCTCAGATTTGTGTTCTTACATTTTCAGAATTCAAGTTAAATTTATTTCCCTTGCATCTTAACCAAAATAAATACAGAAATTGTTACAATGTTATGCATCAACTGTATAACAGTAAATATTTTTCTGTCAGCACAGAAGTTTTTTCAATTCATATGCTCTTAATTATAAATATCAGAAAAATATTTAAGTATTTGATTACTAACTAGCAGGAGACAGGAAATGCCAAAAATTGCCTCATAGCTCAATCTGATCTGAACATTTTGAGTATTTCCTTCTTTCAGGAGTTATATTGCCATCTAATGGCAATTAAGGCTTACAGAATTTTGTTACAGAGTATATACATCAAAAGTTGACTGCTCCCATCTGCAGTTTGACATATCCTGTGTAACTTCAAATTACTGTGAATGGTCTGTTGACAACAGATACTACTAACAAGTGCTAGTAAAGAAAGAACAAGAGACTTACTGTTTTCTATTTCCAAATTTTTCATATTTCCTACATTTCAGCTTTTCCCTCTTCAAGTAGAGCAGATTATTTGATCTCTTTATCAGGACACAAATTATTTCTTTTCTTTGCTCTACAAGGTTTCATTTTTAAATATCTAAGTTTTTCATGCTCCAACATCTATAATCCTTGTCATGGCTCTTACAAAAGTTTCTCATTAAACACATTGCTAAGCTTTAAAATATCCTTTTCATCCTGACCAAAGGGAATGTTTTGAGTGAAAGGTACAGGAAGAAACCATATAAAGATGGTCTAGCTGTAGTAATCTATATAAAGCAATGTAAATTTAAACTTCCATAGAACTGCTATTCCTTTCTCTTCTTTTGCATCCATAATCTTTAAAATTCAAACTTTCTGGCAGTTAACACCTCTCTCTCTCTCTCTCTCCTTACATAGATTAGAAGGAGAAGTTGTTTTGCCAGATCTTACTGAACACACAGTAAGGTGCAGGGTGTGCAATCTCAGATAGCAACTCCTAGGACAGAACTGCAAAATTAGTATTTCCCACTTACTTATCATCGTGCTCATAAATATTCAGACCCAAAGCATCAACTCCTAGCCACAATTCAGTTCCTTTTTTATTCTTTATTTCAAAATAGTTGACTCCATACATTTCCAAGTCTTGTGCTATCTTAAGGTATTCCATCATAGAATCTTCCCTGATGAAGAAGAAAAATTGGTATAGTTTAGACAACAAATCATTAGTATATTGTAAGAACAAGGGTACTGCAGAATAAACAGCTGGGGTAAAATTTAGTTATGAATTAAATCTCTCTCTAAAATAGTTTGACTCAGATACTTTGAAGAGCTCTACACCCTAATATCCAAGTAGAGTCCAATCATTGCACTTTATCTTTCTGCCCCATGAGCTAAGGGAATACTAAATGCATTTCAGAGGCAGGCAACTATGGACAAAGACATTTGACTGCCTGACCAGAAATCATGTAGGTAAACCAACAACCCAACTGCAAACTCAACTCTCATGGAAGTCTTTGGTACCCACCCTGGTCAGAATAAAAGAAAGCCATTTTCCAAACAAATACCTCCAAAAATACATCCTAATAATAATGAAAGGTGTTGTGAACATTTTTTACACGATTACCTTAACATTCCCCTGTGCTCTTCATGCCAGTTCTGTATTCTTTCTTCCCACTGTTCTTTTGTCAGTTTGTGCTGCTCTAACACACTGTGAATAGTAATTATTGCTGTTAAATGACAGTGACAACAAACTTAACCTCTTTTGTTGCACAGTACAACATATGCTTTAACCAAATAAACTTAAAGATGACTTCCTATACACTGTTCATATTTACAGCACAGAAACGTTGCATTTCAACAAATTCCCTTCTAAAATAGTGTGAAAGTTTCCTCTTTTTTTTTGGTATTGTATATTCTTTGTAATATAAAAGTCACACCATTGTACACCTTAAGTCATAAAACAATGTTTAAAACAGCTGAAAATGCACACCTATAGAATCCTCTAGCAACAATGCTGCAAATTAATGTCTAGGTGTGCAAAGATATATTCAAGCTTTCATTCTGCTATAATTTGAAAGAAAAGGTAAGACATTACAACAAGTTAGCAGACAACCTTGTTGAGGGTTTTTTTGGTGGGTTTTTTATTTTTCCTTTATGAATAAAATCAATAGGGAAGCAGCTTCAGAAAGCTATTTGATGTTTAATTTACAAGAGGCTGCAATGATGGAATTATATTGTGGCCTACTAGAACCTTCAGTGTAGTACTGCAGTAAGAAATCAAATGCATATGATAACTTTATCATGCTTTCATTCCATGCACCCAGCATTTCTGGCGTTTCTGGAGAAACTGTTTAAAAGGACAATTTAAAAATCATCTGAGCATTTGTCTACTGAAAAGGAACACCTTAAGTATATGAATTTGTGCTGTACTCAATTACTGCAATATATTTTATTTTCAGTACACTTGCTTTCAGGAAATTATTATCATTTAAGTGTACAAAAACATGAAAACTGAAGAAAAGGAGAGAGCCAAATGAATTTTAGTTGCTTCTATATTGGAGTATTTTGATTTTATTTCAGCAGAAGTAGGCCTCCAGTAACATTACATGATTTAGGAGTACTTTGGAAATTTGTTCAACTAAATCTGTGCAGGTGTTTATGGACAGGACAGGAAATACATCTCAAGAATCCTGTGGCTGTGATGCTTCTTTAAATTTAAAAGTCTAAACTAGGATCTCTGAATTTTACTAGCAAAAAGAGGAACTCTAAGAAAGCTACCATTAATATTTTATTTATAAGAAATGTGCTACAGTTAAGTTTATGTGCAGCATTTGGTGCAAACCCCATCTCACTCACCGCTGGGGGAGAAGCCTGTCATTGGCTAGGTAGCCCAGTTTATGGATCTCCTTACTGTAATCTCCATACTTGGACTGGACAGCATAAGAAGCCAGAAGAACTGCAGTTTCTGGTGGGCAGTATATTTCATCATTTAAGATCGACTCTTTGACTTGCAGGAAGAAAAGTCTCTGAGTTATTTCCTGAATCAATTCTTCAGATACATCCTCTGGAAAAAACTTGGCCCTGAACTTAAACTGCAAAGGATTTTCTTTCCGTACATCTTGCTGCGTTACCTGAGGGAGAGGAACAAAGAGAAAAATTGTAAAGTAATTGCAAATTAAATGTGATTTCATAGTGCTTAACTCTTTAGCCCCTCTACACTGAAACCCAGAGCTTCCTGACAACCCCACTATGGAACTCACTGAAAGGTTCACATGGCACAAACAACTACGTCAATTAGAATAAACCAGACAATTTTTAAATACTACTTGAAGGCTGATTAAGGGATTTTTTTTTGTAGGCTTGTGTGAATTTTTATTTATCACAATAAAGACCTGGAAACTAAGAAGTTGCAATAGATATTAAAAAGATCAAAACTATATCCAAGGATGATTTGCAGGAAGTAATGAGTTAGGGTCTAACAACAGTTCTTTAGCAAGAACTACAGCACATTTCTTTAATGTGAGTGTGAAGTTGGATTCTTTTCAGTGTCTTTCAACTATTGGAATAAATATATGTGCTTTTTTCCTGTGCAAAAGCCTTAATTCCTTTGATCTCGTTATTTTTGTAGAATGGATAAGCTTTAAAACTGTGATTTCTGCAAAAAAAAAAAAAAAAAAGATATGGTTTTAAGACTTCCTCTACTTCAGATTTCAACGAACACTCATTTGTATATAGAATTTGATTTCATTTGTGCTCAGCTTGCAGCACCAATTATGGAGAAAGCAAAAACATTCAAAACTAAACTAATTTTAACATAAAACATTAATTGTTAAAATGTACATTAATTGTAAAATAATTCTCATACATCCCATTTCAAGCACTTTATCACACAATGTGTAATAAAGTGCTTGAACTGGGATGTATGTTTTATGTGCACTATTAGTCCCACTAAAACCTCTTTGTTATGTGTGAAATTATGTCTGTTTGCTCAACTTGTAGGAATTCTCAAAAACTGTGAATATAATAAATACAACATTTTAAACACCTAAGACAGCATAAGTACATACAAATTCAACACATCTGAGATATCAGTTTTAAAAGTTTTGCTCACTTTTCATTATTGTCGTGCATTATTTACAGATGTAGCATTTCATCTTATCAGTGAAATATTAGTTGTGCACACCGTAAGATCTTATTTGCACATCTATTCTTTATCAGATTTTATCTGCATATACTGAAAATGTGCAAATAGTAATTTAAAAATGAGAGTGTTAATTTGATGCATTTCAGAATAAAATGTTAACTTAGTCAAAGTTCAAAAAATGAGCACGTCCTCAGCTGCTTCTGAACTGTACCAGAAACTTAACTTGCTGAAGGTTTTCATAGAGCAATGTCTTCTGTATTTTTCACAACTGATGCAATAAATCCCATAGTCCCCAACCACTTGAGACAAGCCATTACAGTTAACAAAGTATCTGTAGCACTACAGTATCTATTGTGTATAAAACAAGATACATATGAAATTCTAGGAGACAGATTTGGTGCTTAGCAGGCTCAATTCACTGGATTTACCAGAGAGGAGAAGCAAAGATTACATAAGTGCAGACAGTGGGACTTGCTCCTAAAACCCTCCCAATTTGCCTCATAATATTGAGGCTAAGAAAGGTATTCTTGATTAGGTTGAACTAAAAAACAAGTATCTCCATTCAAAACAGTGACAAATAATCTGACAGCCAATAATAAAATGAGAAATGACCCTTCAAATTCATAAATACAATTTAAAGCAAAATGACCCATTTCCCAGTAACTGGGAGATACAAGGTACTCAATGCCCTTTGGAAAAGAAAAATAATCATCCCACAATCTACCTACTAGACACCTAAAGTTAGGAGCCAATTATTTTGCCTGGTTAAAAGATTCATAGCTATATGCATACAAATTCCTGAAGCTCAAATACTTCCCATACACATGCCCAAACTGTAAAAGAATAATTCTATTATGTTTTGCTACATGAAAATGGGGCAATCATATGAATTCAAGTTTCCCTAATGCATGCATGCATGCATTCCACAGTACTGGAAACTATCTCTTCAAATTAAATATTGATGCAGCTTTGCATATTCTTTATACTTAATCTAACTTAACACTATTTTGTCATTTAAAGAACATGAAAAATGATTTTTCAACTAAATTTGAAGCCAGTTAAGACATTAAATCAACAAAGCTTATAAAATATATTCAAACTGTACACTTGGCTAAAATGAGGGAATTGTTACCTTTTTATTTAGCTTCAGCCACGTTGAGTAACCTTTGCTGTCCACATACTGAAGCCCAAAAAACCAAACTTCACGAAGACCAACAGTTTTCACCACCTTAAAGATAAATGAGCCACCATCATCAGTAATCACTACAGTACATTTTTTTTTAAACTGGTATTGTATAGCCTAATAAAGCTATGCAAACAATTTCAAACTGAAATGTAATCAAGTCATACAAGAGTAAAAATGATAAAATTGTAGCAAAAAATCAGGTACAGGGAATCCCAGAGTTCTAAATAAACTCCAACACTCCAAGCTACCAACTGGAACATGCAGCTCACTGTGTACATCAGCACCTGAGGAACAGAAGGTAGTAGCAGGACCCTGAGGTTATAAAGCACATCTGGGAAGTGACCTGCAGCCCTATGGAGAAGTGATTACACTTCAACAGAAGACAACGGGTGAAACAATAATAAAGAGTAACATTTGTGGACAAGTATGACGTAATGAGTGAGGATGAACTGCCTCCTTCAAATAGTTCTGCCATCTTCTAAGAGTTAATGATAAAAGGGGTAAGGATGATCTACATAATTAAACATACATGACTTTCCTGTAAGATTTCAGACCAGGTCTATCACGAAAAGCTACTAAAGAAGCAAAATTGTCCTTGAATAGACGGAAGGTTGTTTTACGGATAGACTGCTTAAAAAGACAGACAAAAAATACAAGTTGTTTTCATAATAGAATTGTAGTTTAACCACTAGGGAAGTCCCCCAGGACTTCAAAAAAGGATGAAACTGATGTGAAAAAAATCTGCTGTAAAAAACCTTCCATAAAGATCTGTGAATAAAAGTAATACCATAAAGACCTGTGAATAACCACAATAAAAGATCATATTTAATAAAAGCAAAACACTGTACATAAAAGACAACAATTTAAATTATGGGAACAAAGTTCTAGTAAAGCAAAAAGTCAAGAAAGCTATTACATTACTATACACATGTATGGTATTCACAAATCTCTAATTTTACATAAGACTGGTCACATCAACTCATAAAAAAGGATGCTGCAGCACTGGAAATGTTTCAGAAATGTTGAAAAGAATGATCAGTGACTTGGAACATTCTCTGCAGAGCTAAGACAAGAACTAGGGCTACTGAAAGAGAAGTAAGGAAAGATATGATATAGCTCTATAAAATTTGCATGGCATGTAGAAGGAAATAGGTAATGATTGGTCATTATTTCTTACAATGTAAGAATTAAGAGAATCAACAGAAATCATGACATAGCAGGCTCAAAGCAAACAAAAAGACTTACTACAGAGTATAATGAAACTGTGGAACTATTTTACAGGTCTTTTGCACAGCAAAGGCATATGTGGATTTAATAAGCAATTAATCAGAAAGATCCAGCAAAGATTATGAAATGACTGTAAACTCTGGCTCCAAAGATCACGTATGGTAGTACTTACATATGTCCTCAGGTTGGACCATGGTGCCAAGCTGCTTTATTGAAGGCTGTTTTATGGAAGCATTCAGATGCATGTGAAGTAAATAGAATTTTACACATAGATCCTCCTCCATTTTAAAGTAGTACTATCGGGTTGCAAAATTAAGATTTTGAAAATTAGAAAATGTCATAAGATAATTATGCAAACTTACTTCTGCTGCCTTGCATAATCACTTAACAACCATTCAAGTGTGCACCTTTTTTCCTCCTTTATCATTTCACCTTCAAACTCCAAAGCACAAAATGGACAATGTTTGTGGATCCAATCTGATTGATGCCTTGAGTGAGCACAGTTATTTCCTCTAGAATTCCCACATAATTTCCTTTCGATCATAAGAAATGCTAAGAACAGGTGTATGCTCCTAGTATGGTCCCGAGCAGCATTAAATTTGGTGCCCCATCACAGGAATTCCAGACTGCTGTTTCTTTTGGCACAGATCTCCTATATAATGCTGATCAAATCACTTATGGCTTTATCAGATGACTGAGAATGCTCTTTGCTTAGCAGCTGTCCAAGCTGAGCCCTTGTACCTTATCAGCTCTCTGAGCTGCAAAGAGCTGCAGATGCTCAACAGCTCTGCCTGTAAGGCAATAGGAGACAAGTGCTTATGCTCATGTCAAAACATTCTGCTCTCAACCCACTAACTACAGCCCCTGAGATGCACATGATTTAAATACAGACAACCTGGGTACAGCAATGCAGAGCTACACAGGTTTGCAAAATCAACACCAAAACCAGCAGAATCCTCAAATAAGGAAAAAGTATTGCCTACACTGGCTCTCAGCTCAAAGGAAAGAGAAATAACCTTTCTGAAATTTGTGCCAAGATAATACATGCACTTATGCACTGCAGTAGCATGATATGAAAAGTAAGTAGAGAATGAAAAATTTTAGAGTTTGATTCTGGCTCAAAACTTCTATTAAGTAGCTTCAGGCAAGTGTTCATCACATCTGAAAAACAGATTTATCCACCACCACATCCTACAACTTGACTATTAATAGGCAATAAAAACTTCTTGGAGAAGAAAAGCAACCTTTATGTTTGGGCAAATCACAACACACACATAAGACAACTTAACAAAGATTTCATACGGGCACCTTCCACAAGATTGTAAGGAAGGCTTTGAAGACATCTTGAAAGGACAGTGGGGCTCAAAATGAAATAAAAGAGACAACTCTCACATTCCTTCTGAATGGCAGCTAGAGTGAACCAAAAGTTACTAATGCACAGTGCTAATGAAACAACTCCCCCACGATTACCACCAGTGTGTGGAAACATCCTTTCACAGGGTTCTTCCTCTCCCAGGAAAGCTAAAGATGCTTAACTGGTTCACTACAGGAGGATAGAACCCCTCTTGCCTATTCTGACCACTGACAGGACAGACAGAGGGACCAATGGTAAGTATGCTAGAACATCTTCTGAAATGCAAGTAATAATAAAAAAAAAAGCTTAATTTATTGCTCGTACAATAAGTCAATAAATAAGAAGTTTACTGAATTTGACAATGGAAAAGAAAAAGCCACAGATTTCAAATACTGAATTTTTGTCTGCTAACAGATGAAGATGATGAAAACACATATGAAATGGGAAACATATCAACAACTCCAGAAAATTACAATTAAAAGCTTAAAATAACACTGGCTGGTAAAAGGTTGAAAGATCGTTCACCAAAAATGTAGAGGAGCACTAGGCAACAGCTGAATTCATGGAGAGGTTATCTTCTGCAAGCAATAACCAACCTGCTTGTCATGTTCACCACTTCTGCATAAACCTTGAAGGCCAATCCATTCTGTAACAGTGCTATTCAATTATCTTTCTATAGAGAAACAAGATAACTTTTTGTCTGAAAATTTCATGCTGGTTTCACAAAACAGTTCAGCTCTTGGTGTTACACTGTAGAACTCACACATGAATTTAAGATCAGGCTAAAAATGTTTCTCAAACACAACTATTCTGGTTGATTTTTCTTGACCTAAATTTTTTTCAATTTAAAACTCCAGAGGTAAGAGCTGGTGAGATGTTAAACACCACACAGAGAACTGAGGAACAAAGAAGAGAGCATGACAACAAATTCAGAACTGTATCTTTGTTCCCTGTTTGCGAATACCCCAATTTGGATGAGCCTGATTACCTGGGTACAAGACATTACACAGCAGAATGTCACCCCACCCAACAGCACATGGCAGAAGATAGCAAAGGCTGGCAGAAGGAACAGCTTGAGCCTTCTATGCCACAGAATACCATACTTTTATTTGATGATGATGATGATGATGGTTAGACAAAAAGCAAGACAGCCTCTTTTTTCAAGAAGTCTTTTTAAGAGTCATAAAGCTTATTCCTTTGTAGGGGCTGAAGACATGCTGCTACTGATGTTAGAGAACAGGTCAGGCAGTAAGTGTTAAGAGTCAGTCATTTCAAACAAAAACTGCAAAGGCAATTTCATTTATCTTAAAGTTCAGTATTAAAACAATAAACATTCTCTTCTTTAAATTTTATATAATAAGACATTTCATTGACTCTAAAAGATCGAATAAAAATTTAAAGAGCTTTTTTGATGTGTTACTTCCTCTTAGTACTCATCACATACTTCAAGCATCTATAGTGGAATGGACAGAAACAACTACTAGCCTTAACTGTTGATCTACTTAAACTATTTTTGAAGAGTAATTTCAGATATTTCCGCATTTCCTAAATAAAGGCATACATCTTGGATCTAGACAATAAAATTTATTTATTGGTATCTTGTTGGAAAATGACACAACATATTGACAAGATTCTATTCTTAAGGTTTCCTGTAACACCCCACAACACAGGTCAAAAACTTATTTCAAGATTCTGATGACTAACATCACATGAGTGCAAGAACAATCCTGTTTAAGAAATCGTTCACTTGGTCCATTTGACTGATGTACAACACACACCATCAAGTGAGAATGTGCAGTTCCATAAGCATATTAAGGTCATAATTTTCAACTGTTCTTTTTTCCTTTCCATTTTTTTAAACATTAATTCCAAACTGGTTCATGGGACAACAGTATTTAGTTCTAACATCCGGGAAGTGAAAAACCATCTCACAGCATCTATTGTTGGAAAGCAATTGTGTTAGTTTTCATTAATGAACTTACTGTTACATGCATATATCTAAAATACACATTTCTAACAACCATATTGTTGCAGTAGCAACTATAATATTATTAGACATAAAACTCACAGTTAATTTCAAAGCAGCTCCATACACAATTTATCTGAAGCCTCACTGGTAACATATTTAGAGAGTTGTCTTTGAATTCAATATGTTGCATAAGAAGTAATGAGGAAATTCACACTAACTCAGAGCATAGCTTAGGTAACATAAGGAAAAACAATCTGCACATGAGAACACTACCACTTTTTCAGACTATGCCTTAATAACCACAATACTCTTATGTGTTTGTACTTATACATACATAGAGACATATAAGTTACCTGATCAAAGAGCTGCTTGCCTGTTGTATTGGGCTGGATGGCAAATTCCAACTCTGCATCCATTGTGGTTACTCTGACATTGATCTACAGAAGATAAGGAAATATTTAAAATATACTGTAACAGTGTGATGCTTCTATATCCTATGATTAGCCTGTAAGAAACAATAAGTTCAACAATTTTAATGGTCTTGTGTACACACAGAACATAGCAGTACGAAAAACAGAAAATTTGAATCTCAAAAATTCTCATCTTTATTTAGTGTAAAAACCTTAATCCAGATAGTATTTACCAGTAGGTTGGAAGGTTAAATTAGAGAACAAAGCTCAAAATTAATTTAATGGGAAAGCTGACATCACTACTGAACAGCTGAAGAATATTGGGAGATTCAGCTACTGGGCACTATCTTTCAGAGGGCTTCCCAAATGCATGCAAAAGAAAGAGAGTTTTGGTCACACATATATCATATTATGGTATTTATGCCTAGCAATATAAAAAGACAAGAAGCCCCCTGCTTGCCATTTCTAAAATCAAGCAGTTTGGTGGTGAAAGTATTTAGGACTAAAGCCTGTTCATCTCAGGACAGACTAGAAGCAGGTTTTCATCAATGGAAAGAAAAACTACAGAAATTAGCATTCCTTCGTGCCAACCTCCTTAATTCCCTTACTATAAGACTAAAAAATCACTACCATTCCATGAACCTCCTTGTCCTGAAAGGGAGGACCATTTTCCAGATGACTCCTGACAATCACTGGGTTTATTTGTTATAAAACAATATGTAAATACTGCAGGAGATAATTGGAAGCCTTACTTGGAAGTGCAACAGTCTTTTTCAATTTCTATTCAGCTGGTAGATATAGAAGTGAGAATTTCCGTGAAACAGAACAAAGTACTAAATGCACAGCACTGTCTTCTCAGTATTAGAATGGTACTCCATTCCTACTGCCAGGTTATCACATTTTATTCATCTTTAGTTCACAGGAATATAAAGTGTTAAAGGTCTAATATACCTTCTTACAAATGCAAAAAGACCAAACACACACAGATATATTCTAATTTCTTCCTACTGTAAAAAGGGAACAGGAATTAATTAGGACTGGTATTACAGGTTCTTACTACTATGCATGTGTGAACCATTTCCCTTAACTATTTCCCTAATTCTGCCACCAGGTGGAATACTTTGAGAAGTGATTGTCTGGAAAAGAAGACAAGACAAAACATGGAAGGGAGATCTAAGGTGGGGAAAAGAAAACTGCAGAGCAGTCTGTCCTCATGCCACAGATGAAGCTCGATCACTGCTCCCTATAGAGTCAAGGTAAACACGAGGGGGATATACAAGACGAGTAGCAGGAGCCTGAGGACCTCTAGGTTATAGACTTGCAAACAAGAATGATAGAGGGGGCTTAGCCAACTTTATTGTGTGTGCAAACACTGATAAAGAACAAGAGCTGAAGACTTTGGAGTAAAAGATAGTTGAGTTTTATTGCAAAAAAAAAATTAAATAGAGGGTGTGTGTCAGAAAGAGGGAAAAATATGTTTTCTGCAGATTCTCTCAGTCTGTCCATTTCAAGAGAAGAAAAAAAAAAACCCTTACAGAACATAACTCCTCTTACAAAATAACTAATTTTAAATGGTAGGTCTAACTCACTGTCAGTTGCAATAGTTTAAGCATAAGGGATTGCCCCTTAATTACAAAAATTTAATTTTTAAAAATAGTTTTTCTTTTTTTAAAAAAGGAAGCCTTCTTTAGGGCAGTCACAAGTATCAAGTTACAAAGAAGAAGGCCAAAAATTAATTTTATTAAATGCCAAAGTGTTCTGTTATATTACAGAACCATTGCCAAAACAAGAAGTGTCATAGAAGAGCTACAAAGCACAACAAGTTGAAAATGAATTGCAGCAGCAGGCAGCAGAAACTTCTTATATAAATATCCTTACAACAAATGTCATCTACAAATGCAAGAAATACTACCTGAGAGTTTATCCTTCATAAGAACTAGAATACCCAAAGAGTAAAATAATAGCTGTAATACAATAGAGCTCTAAATTCTGTCTGCTTCTGGATGTTACTGCCCAAAAAAATCAGAGTGCTCTAGAAGTACTGAGCTTCTACACCTGCAATGGGTACAGAGAGATATTAAGAGTACCTGGCCACTTACACACATTGCAGTAAATGCTTAAGCCTGTAGCATTTCTGTTTATCTCTGAACTTCCAATTAACAGATCACTCATCAGCTAATCAACATTTACAAATTCTAATACGAAGGTTGCATATTAAATAATGGCAATGTTAAAACATTACCTTCTGTGATACAAATTATTTAAGAAGAGACAAAGTTAACACTAGACATTCATTTTCTTTCCTAAGGAATTTGGATTGATTTTGATTTTTGGCATACAAACACCAGGCTTCTACAAACTTGTAACATTGTTTTACACCTTCAATCATTTGTGGGCAGGGAACATAAGGAAGTTACTGTTGTTCAAACTTGAAGACCCCAGAGGTCAACTTATCTAATTCAAATCCTGATCACAGGGTACCTTCTCAACGAAAATTAAACCTCTGGTATCAGTTGCTTTGTCTATAAAATAAAGCTAGCAAACTACATTAACAAGAGTCATAGGAGAAGTTCCCACATCATAAATACGGCAGGGAATTGAGAAAACATAGGCAGAGAAAGAAGGGCCAGGAACTTCAGCAGTGGTCTGCCACTCATGTAACCTCTGCTGGGTATCTGGCTACTTTGAAACAATTCTCTTTATGCGACATTGGTGACGGGGGAAATTATCTGAACCACAAATTAGGGGGACAGGCACTAATCTGAACCAACTTCACCACAGAAATACGGAAACAGGAAGGAGCTCTTGCAATACTGACAAGAGAAATGCATAAAGGTTTCCTGTAGCAAATATTGGAAGGCTACCACTACACATAACACAAGTTCCATTCAGTGCCTGCTTTTTAAACTTACCCTCACCAGGATCCTACATCTTTGCAACAGAATCTGACAGCTCTCTTCTTCACATAGTTCAGCCAATTCTATCTCAAGTTTACATATTAAATAGAATCACAGAATAGTTTGGCTTGGAAGGGACCATGAAAGGTCATCTAGTTCAAATCCCCTGCAATAAGCACAGACACCTTCCCCCACCCACATCAGGATGCCCAGAGACCCATCCAACGTGACCTTCAAACACTTCCAAGGATGGGGCATCTACCATCTCTCTGGGCAACTGTTGGAGTTTCACCTCCTGCATCATAAAAATTTTCTTATTTATACGTCGTTTGAATCTATATCGTTTTAGTTTGAAACCATTACCCTTGTCTTTGCAACAGGCCCTGATAAAATGTTTGTCCCCACCTGTCTTATAAGCTCCCTTTAAGTACTGAAAGGTCAAAATAAGGTCTCCCCACATTTCTCATTCCTAGGCAGAACTGCCCCAACTCTCTCAGCCTTTCCTCAATAAGGAGGGATGCTCTACTCTGACAACCATTTTTGTGATCCTCCTCTAGACCTGTTTCAACATGGTCTCAACACCATGTCCTCGCTGTGCTGGGCCCGCAGAGCTGATGCAGCACTGCAGGTGGGGTCTCAGCAGAGCAGAGCAGAGGGGCAGAATCCCCTCCCTGGCCCTGATGCCCACCATTGGATGCAGCCCAGGACACCTTTGGCTTTCTGGGCACATTGATAGCTCGTGTCCAACCTCTCACCCACCAGCATCACCAAGTCCTTGTCAGCAGGGTTGTTCTCCATCTGTTCATCCTCCAGCCTGTGTTGACAGTGGGGCATGCCCCAACCAAGGTGGAACACCTTGTACTTTGTCTTTTTGAACCTCAGGAGGTTCACATTGTCCCACTTCGCGAGCTTGTCCAGGTCCTTGGCATCAGCAATAGGCTGAGTTTATCTGTATTTTACCAGACTTGCTTCAGAATTATTAAACACAGCCAAAGGAAGGGAAGAACACACATTAAAGAACTATACACTGATTATTCTTTGCCAAGGGAGCAACTGATGCTTTGATAACAAATATTGCTAACGGGTTATGAGGATATTTGCCACAGCTCACAAATCCTTATTTATAGAAAAATATTCCACAGCAAATTATCTATTAAATAATGTATCCAAACCAATAAAGAATACAGTCAATGAACATATCTAGAACAACAAACATCAATGTTCACTTAATAAAAGCATGCACTTCATATAGGAATTATATTTTTATTGCATTCTTTCACCTTTAAGGACTTGAAAAAGTATTTCTGCATCATCTTGTAGTACCTAACTTCAACCCTCCACAATTTATGGGTATATTACATGTCACCACATTAACCTTTGAACTTCTCGTCAAACAGATACAATCCATGAAATGTGCACAAATCCTGGCTCTAAGATTCATAATCCAAAACTTACTGCTACTGTACTTCAGTCATCCTTCAGAGATATTAGTTATACCACTTCAGCTTTCATAATGAACTCCAAACTGAGCAGGTAACAATTCTGAGAAAAAAGTCATTTAAAATAACATGGAAATAGTTTCCAGAGGTTTCGATTTTGTTTAATAAATGCAATACAAATTAGTCATCTGCAAAAGCCACAAAAACCAGTCTGATTCATAAGAAAACTGCATACAGAAAAAAAAGTTTGTTTAAAGAGCTTCCTCATACTGGTTCAGACATTTACTATCTCAAGTTTGCATATTAAATTGTGTTAGGAGTAGCAGTGTATTAGTCCCGCTGCTTTACAGACTGCACATATACACACAGCAACATCGAAGCAGATATAGAAAGAGGTGAAAGAAAAACTCTATTAAGGAGGTAAAGTAAAAAGGTAAGGATTAAACAGCATTAGGAACAGAAGGCAACAGAATAATTCCAAACAGATTTTACTAATAGATGAATCAAAAGAAAGCTCTCCAAGCTGACATCATTTATCTATTTATATTACAGAAATAAATAATAAATTCGAGCCAAATTCAAATACTGCATTACACAGACTCAAAGATTTTCCTGTGTAACACCACTGTAGTAAAAAAAACTTATACACTCTTTCAATTCAACCACCTTACAGAAATCAGTTTTATCTTGCAAATATTAGAATTTTAAATCACCATATTATTCCAGAATTTATTTACTCTTCTGAATACACAATATCATAAATTGTTGAATAAACCTTAAAAAAAAAAATCCTTTTTAGTCTTAGTGACTTTGACATCTCTCATTCCCCAGTGCAATGCTTGCTTTCTTCCATGCCTTGCAGTCTTGTACAAAAGTGCTGCCAATTATCACCAAAACCAAATGATAATTTAACTCCTTCTACACCCTATAAATGTAATATTTTGGTCAATTAAACCTAATCTTCTTAGCATATGAAATGATTAACAGTTATGTAACCCGTGATGTCTAATTTTAGCTTCTATGTTTCTATCTTCAGTGCAGATCTGTGAGAATGCCATACAGCTGAGAAACATTTTGTGTCTATTCTTTTAGAAAGAAAGCACTGAAAATAAGAGTCAACAAATATTCTGTTCTTCAGCAAGCTGAGAACTAAGCATACTGAGAACAGCACTTGCAACAGCTCAAATTTTGATTACAGCAGCAAAGATGTAATTAAACAAAGAGGTCATCAGTTTTGTTCAGATAGATCACAACATACTAAATGAAACTAAAATTCACACTGCCAGGGAGAACTGAGAATAGTAAGTCTCTTTTAAAAACAAACTATTTGATTTAGAAGTAGAGTAGATACTGAGTAACAGCTTGAACTGGAAAGCGACTTAGTCACAAACCCAGCCAAAGTGAAGGACTAGACTTTCTACTGAAGCAATCAAAAAAGAAAATGTTTCAAATATGTATATTTTTTCACTCACATATTACTCGAATATCTTAGGACAATATACTAAAGTTACTGTTACCCTTTCAAATCAGCCTTTTCACCCAAGCTATTTAACCTACTAGCCTCTAAGAAAACAAATCCAAAACACATGACCTTTTACTACCACATATAAAAATCATTCACAACGGCATGAAATTTATTTCAGACTGAGACATCCAGGAAAAATGAAAGATGTTTGCTATAAAATTCCAACACGGCAAGACTTGCTACTGGTCTTCATGTTCTTAATTTTGTCTGGAATACTATATAACTTTAACGTGAAAACAAAAAAAGTGAACCCAAAATATATTTAATTGCCTTTTCTGTGGTCGAATGGGTACTGGTTTCATTTAAACTGATCTGTGGCTTATTTATTTGTTATTTTCTCAATTAAAAACATCATCCCAGGAACACATGAAGAATTTATGGTTGTATTGCACAGGTTTACATATTTACAAGACTACCAGACTTTTCTGAAAACTATCAATTGGATCATTACAGCAGAGTCTGTAAAAAGAAAGCCTAAATAGGTCACAGATATACAGAAGAGAGATAAAATAACACTGTCAAAAATCTCACCACTTATGTTAACTGGGTTTTCTTAGCTCTTACCCACAACTATTTCATTCGTTTTCAGGTTAGATGATTTCCAGCAATAAAGCTACACAACACTGACTGTCTTACTGTAACAACTGTCAAAAATAAGCAACAAGGATTTAAAGCATAAATAGTTACTGGACTAGAAGTACTGAACTATGTGGATTGTCCATAAAGACGAGTCTGCAGAGCTCCAGTAAATATCCATAGAGACTTCCTACTGTCCAGTACCAGCAAATCTGAGCAGAACAGCAAGACTCTTCAAAGAACGTCTGATTCATTAAACATGGCTAGGCTCTTACAGTCTCCAAAGAAGAAAGAAGGAAAAAAAAAAAAAACAACAAGAGGGGAAGGGGGAGGAAAAGAGCTCCAAAGCTATCTATCATTTAAGAAGCAGACAGAAAAAATCTGAGGTTTGATTTTTATAGGTAATACTACTTAACCTTTGGCAAGTGTACTACTTCTTCATTCACTGATTACCAACTATAATTACAGCAACCTGCAGTTTACAGGAAGACACTAAGAAATGTAATCAATTTAATTTCATTTATAATGGCTCCTTTCACTTGGCTTCCTTCTAGAATTTCACATGCACCGACATCATCAAGAGACATATGAACTCTTTATAAAAAGCCCCTTATTAAAAAAAAATTATCTTTGGCACAAGACCAGCTTCTTTGCCAAGATCTGGTAGCTAATATCCATTATCAGGGTGGATTGTACACTCTTTCAACACCACTGCAATCTCAGTTCTAAGGATATTGCTTCCCTCATGAACAACCCTAAAATTCTTATTTCCTTCAATTTTCTCTGGTCCTTAAAATAGAGGGAACCCTGCCTGCCTAAATTTCATGCTTCCAGTCCCAGAATTCAAAAGAAGTTACCTCACCAAGGCTTTTTTTTTCCTAGTCACCACCTCTGTGGCTCCATGGCTCTTCAGCTGCATGGAGCTGAAGGCCTCAGAAACCACATGAGCTCACAGTGACTTTTTGCCTCATTCTTAAAACACAGTATTCCAAAGGCAGTACTTAATTCTCACAGCCAGCACTCAAACAGGTCAGAAAACAGTATTCTGCTAATTCATTTTCCTGCCCTTTATAACGCAGCTTTCTGTCACCAATAAGCAGGATACAGACAGCTACTTCCAGCTGGAGAAAGTGGCAAGATACTGTCCCTAATCCACTGGCAGGAAGAGAAGAAATTACAGAAACAAGGTATGGCCATAATTGGTCATCAGCCCAACTGCAAAGCTCAGAACAGAACTTCAAGCCCTTAGCCCCATGCTCACATAATTCACTGAGCTGTACCAGTTCCAAATACTGGCACACAACACAGATTATTTACAGGGGTAATTTCTCATTAATTGCAAAAACCTTTCATATACCTTCATACAGGGATGTAGGTGTGTATACACATGCACATTGACACATTTATTCTTAGCAATAGACCTGCCCTGCTCCTAATCTGCTACCAAAATGAAACATCAGTAAACAAAGAATGCCTGAAGGCTCTTACATAAACCAACTGAGTTGAGCAGAAATAATCTGACAATTCAGTTCCACTTCTGAATGTTTTGCTCACTGGATAAAAGTGGAAGAGACACGTAAAAGTCCTTTAACACAACAGATGAAATCCTAAGCTAGCAATATAACATTAACAGAAAAAGAATCAATCTACTGAATCATTTTCTCCTCAAAGACTTCTAGAATTATTATCAAAACAAAAGCTGGAGATCTTTTTCTCCCCTTGGTACAAAGTGGATGAACCCTTACCTTAGCTGAAGTGAGAGAAACAGGAGATCACAAACATTGCTTATTTCCACCCTTCAAAACTTAATTTCTACGTGATATTCTCTACCATAGTAAAACTACTGTCTAACTTAGTGCAGACACTTTACACATGTTCTGTCTTCCCCTGCCAAATCCTGCAGCAAACCCTTCCACTGATTCTCACAGGCACTGAGTCAGGCTCAAATTATGCCTCCAATAATTACTGTAAGTCAGTTCATCTCAAAGTCAACAATTCCTGAAAAGTCATTCCTCCTGCCAGCCAAATGGGCTCCAAGTACTGCTCCCATTCCCAATTATCCTCCATGCAACTTGCAGTACCAAGCTTTCTTGAGCTTTTTTTCCACACATTGGTACTAAACTGTCTCAACTTCAATTGTACATGATCAAATCTTATAAAATCTAGAAAGGGCAGACTCAAAACATCTATAACAGTTATAAGATAATTTCTCTAAAATGTAAAAACCTTCCTAGATTTTAGATGAATATAAACCTGCTACTTACTGGTTTCGGCATTTTTCTTGTTTTCTGCAGTCTCTTGTCCACTTAAATCTTCCAAAAACTCTTTGTCCCCTCTGCCAAAAACAAAATTTAAATGATTCTTTTTAAGTTAATCAAAACTTAATCACAGTAAATAGTACAAATTTCTATACAAGTAAGCAAGTGCTCTACATATACAAAATACACTTCTCACTGGGTGACATATAGAAAGAAAAACTAATTTAGCCAGTGCCAGAATCTACAGATGTCCAAGCAGTAACATCCTCCCTCCTTTCTGTAGAACCTTTACGCAGAAATGTTAAAATAAAGAGACAACAGTTCCCCAAGTGCTACAAATTCTTTTAAAGGTTCTGTTACCATACGTTATCTACTGTTAAAAACCTCTAACATTATTTACAAGAAACATCATGAAGACAAAAAATAAACCCTTTAACAATTTTAAAGCATCAAAACTGTATTTCCTGGCTATAAAATAATTTCTTTCTCACAGCAAAGGAATGATAGTCAATTTTCCCAAATGAAAAGAAATTTCTACCAACACAGCAGAAAAAAAGGAAGAAAACTTGCTGTGCTTAAAACAACAGAGCTTTTTTCTTTTTAAGCAGAAAACTGTAAGTTATGTCTACTGTCTATGTGGTAATAAAAGTATTCACTATTGCATTCTGTTCCAAAAAAGTTTTTTTATGCCTTGAAAAATATGTTTGCAACGCTATTGGTAGATATCATCCTACTTCCTTTTCAATTCCTTCTAACTCAGAAAGAGCAAGCAGCTAGTCATCTTCCTGCACACATTTACAGTAATGACTTCCACAAATCAGACTGCTGCTGGTTTCCAAGGAGCATCAAAGACTGCATTGCCTTCAAAAATAGTATTAACCGGAATTACACTTATACTAAGAAAAATGCATATGACATGCTAGTCAGAATAATCTGAGATTTCAGTATTATAACTCCACAGCTGCAACAGATGAATAAAATCTTCAGAAATGCTTAAAAGAAAAATAAGAGAAAAACAGAATACTTGAGAGCAACTCAGTTATCAAAAACAAGCTTTTGTATAACTGATCTTTCAAAAAGAAAAATAAAAAAATAAAGGATTTTAATATAAAAATTACAAAAGTTAATTTTCCTTGCTTCCTGGCAATAAAAAGACAGTAAATATTAGAAATATTTGCTCAGCAATTTAAGGTGCACTAGCACGTTATTTTTTATTTCTTCTTCTAATCTGTAGAGATATGTTTGAAAAGAGGGACTTAAAAAACAAAGGATAAAACAGAATTTAAGAAGCATAAACGTTGTTGGCTGGCAAAGAAAACAAATTCTAAGACTAAAGATTACAGAAAGCGATCTAATGGCATAGTTCAGATATGGAACAAAACTGTGTTTAACAGAAAATCAGCCTGAAAACATTAAAACACAATCTTCAAGTTGCATTCATTATGCTATAACTAATCCAGCCCAACTCTAGAGGTATAATACTCTATGCCTAGCATACAGAGTTACATTCCAGCTGATTTTTTTTAATTACAGAAGATACTCTCGAGAGCTGGACAGTATCAGTAGTGTCCCAAATGCAGACTCTCTGCCTGACGTGCAGTGCCAATTTACACACTGAGCCGAGGCATTTCCATTTCTTTATTCTGATCTGCACAGAGCAGGGAGCTGGGTGGGAGCCCACAAGGGCTGGCACCCCAATCATCCAAGCTTTACACCTTTCATACTTTTCAGCAACCAAAGAAATCACTGTCTATTGGCTACAGGTTCCATGGCTCTCGATCAACATTCTACCTTCTAAGGTTCAATGACTCTCTTGCTCTTCCTGCCAATCATGCCACATGCTCAGCCATTCCCCTATGGAGTCGTGGGCTTAGGGAGTCAGTGGGCACTGAGTCGTGGTCACAGTCACCCCCTGCCAGAATTACCTTTTCTCCACTTGGAGCTGATTCAGCACAGTTGCTGAGTTGGCTTTGTTTGTTTCTTCCTTAACTTGGGAGTTCTGCCAAATGTCCTTGTGGCTCATGAATTCTGCATTCCCTGTGCCCTCTATCAATGGACCATCCTTCTTCCCAAACTTTGCTAACTTTCCCCGGGGTCTGAGATGGTTGAAGAGTGTCAAGCCCTAGACCTTAACAAGGCAATTCTACCGACAAGTCATTTATCTTTCAAATACCTGGACATCAGCAGTAAGACTACTGTCCTACAATACTGTTCAATATATTCTTGAACATTATAAATACACTTGTCCTTTATTCCTCACAAAAGCTTCCTGGGGAGGAAAAAAAAATGGCTTTTGATAAAAATTCAACAGCATGTTTCCCTTTCAGAGAAGAGAATGCCTCTTCTCCCTTCTTTCCCTAATGAATGCCTTGGAAAAATACAAGAGAATAACAGAAACCAAAACAAGCTTGGCTCTAATATGTGCTAACAGTTAGCAGGATTCTGAGCTGTAGTAATCCCTGTGCTCACCTCTGACAGCAGAGGCTCAATGCTTGAGAAACTGAAGGCAGATTGAAGCCCTAGAGTTACACTCCTTTAATTAACGATGCAAAAGCTAAATTAGATTCTCATCCACCATTTTGTAAGCATGCCAACTCAACAGTACCAAAAGGAACAGAAAGTAGTACAGCTACTTTCCTGTGCCTTTAGTTACACAGCACTGAAAAGAAGGGGTATGGTAAGATGACTGATAAGAGAGTCCAGTCTCCAGGAGAGCAATGACAGCACATGGCACAGGACCAAGATCTGTGCTATCAAATTATTCCTTTCTGAGGTCTAAGAGACAGCACGTCTAGCAATTTCTACAATGACTGTCATACATTTTATCACTACAAATTCATTCATAAACATGCCCCAGATTTTTGCTTTGGGATTTACTCAAACATTTTGTTATAAATAATTTATTTGAAAACTTACTTTAAAACCTTAAGGTAACTTTCAAAATCAGAAACGTGACTACAGAGTTTTACAGGTTAATCCTACATCATCAAACCACAATTGGGAGACATGTTTGCAAGAGAACAAAGTTATCAGCAAAAAGCATGAATCCTCTTATGTAAAACTCAATAAAAATTAAGTCTCACTGTTAGTCCCGCAGATTCCATGAGTCTGAGAAATTATCACAGTAAATGAGTAATAGGAAAAAAAGTTCTATGCAAAACAAAGAGCACACAATATATTTTTTGTTGACGTGTTTGCTTGTAACATCTTTTACTAAATAAAACAAAAAATTATATAATTTCTTTTTAAAAAAATCACTCAAATATAAATTTATAGCCAACTATGCTGAATTTATTTCTGGTATTTTCATTTTATATATAATACAAAAAACAGCCTGTGTCAGCCTGACTATGCTTTCATATTTAAAACGTAGTGCAAGTTTGAAACAGTACACAAAACATTCACATAAAAACATTGTAACTATTATATGTATATACAAATAAGGAAGTTCACAGATGTTAAAACTGCCCATATTGACATCAAATAAGCACTGAATAAAAACCAAAAATCGCCCTTTCTTTCCCAATTATTGGCACCAGCTAACATTAAAACAAAAAGCATGAGGGAAACACTGTGCCAAAAGAAACCAAAAACTGCAGCCAGCCAAAATATTGTGTATCTCCACTGTTATTACTGGGGTGTCAGATCATTTTTGCTACTAATACCACTTCAGATAAATTTATATTCAGCAGATGCAAAATTTTTAACTTTGAAGCAACTAATTATTTATAGTTACTTTTATCTTAACACTCCTAAGAAATGGCATTGCAAATAGTGATAAAAACCCAAGCCAACAGCAAAGACCCGAGTCAGCTGGGATTGGGAATGATATTCCTTTTGATTTCTGCATTCTGAAACCAGCTCGTGACCTACTAGGCAAAAGGCTCATCACTTCAGCATTTAAAATCCTAAAGGAAGGACTCTTCCAAGTCAGGATTAACACGATTGTGACTTTGCAGACTTCCTATTGCTACAATACTCAGGACCTTCAGGAGCGTATGCAGTGATCTGGACTCTGGACCAAATCAACAAAAGTGTCAGCAGGCTCCACATCCCAAACAGATAAAAAAGTCATCCAGAACATCAAGAGCTCTCTTGAAATGAAAAGCTACGATTTCAATTCAAGTTTCGCTAACTACAAGGCAGTTGAGATTTTTAAATCAGTATCATCTATGTTTCCAGCTATGCCACAGAAAGCAACAAATAAAGCAATTGTTGAAAGATGACAATGAAAGCTTTCTTCGGAAAATTATGGTGCATAAAATGCCTGATGCCAAAATTCTGTCAATTTATGCAGCAGCTGTTATCAAAAGAAACATTCATACACATAGCCATGGGTCTGAGGTCAGGTGAGGATGGGATAACAAGCAGAAAGCTCCAGCAGGATGCTTGGCTGGTAGAGGAGCAACACTCAAAAATAGAATCCCTAAATGACAGCTTAGGGCCTTCTCTCAGAAGCAGTCCCTCCAGCAGCATCACTCCTAAGCTTGAGCAAGAGATTTACCATCTATTTCCTTAAATACCCAATAGATAGATGTCAGGGACCACAGAACTTTACCCACAGCAATACAACTAACTTGCTCATCAACAGAAACTTATTCAAAATTAATATACTTCTTTTTTTTTGAAGTCTTATTCCATTCCATTTGTGGTACCTAAAAGTTTTAGATTTTTGTGAGGGAAGCAATAGGCAACTGAGGCCATTGGACCTGACTAACTAGTCTCAGATTTCTACAAAATTGTCTCTCCACTCCAAAGCAGTCTGTGAATGTCTGCAGGGCAATCATCTTTCACACTAACAGCTCCCTAATGACACACTTGCCGCAATCCAATAACGAAGTTCATTTGCCACAGACTTTACTTCTGCATACATCTTCTTCAGACGGACAGAGCAACCACCTACACAGTTGTCTGCAATATAAGCAAACCAGGGCAGGAACTAAAACGAGCCATTTACCTCACAGAGGAAAAAAACAAAAAAAAAAACCAAACAAAAAAAAAGCCCCCCACCAAACAAAAAAAAACCAACAAAAACAAACAAACAAAAAAAACCCCTAAATTGCACACTTATTATGCAAAAACTGAAATTTGACCACTGCTTGATATCACATATAGAGTTTTACATGCCAACTTTTTTTTATGTACTGTATCTTTCCCTTCTTAAAACCACCATTTCCCCCAACCCTCCCTCCTCTGAAACACCCAAAATAGGCTTGCTGTCTCTGAAAAACAGAACTGGTAAAATGTATTCAATGTATTTTGAAGAGTGAAGTATTTCTTCTAAACTGGACTTCCTGTGAACTTCAGAAGTAAAATGAAATCCTGGCAGTTGCCAACACAGTATTCAACTAAAAGCAACTTCATAGCAGTCAAAGAATATTTGTGCACTACTTGCAGTTTTGCCAGTTAATAAACTGGTATGTTTTAGACGTGCTACACGATTTACATACACTTAATATTTATTGATTTAGTAACCTTAACTTCAAGTACCCACAAATGCACTACAGGAAATAATTCAAAGATTCTGAAGAGTATAACAATGATAGAATGGCCAATCTTACCATGTACATTGGGTGCACCATCAAAAATGGAAATCATGAATGCAAATTCATGGAAGTACTGTTGCTTCCAAGTGCAGTAATCCTTTCTCTAAACATACAGTTAGCAAAGAAGTAGGACATGTACCCAGAATTTTGGGTACAACTCATCTCAAAGTGAAGTATTCTATTTTCTGAACGACGCTGTTAAGTCTCTTACAACTAGTTCCATAAAATAAAAAGAAACCTATGAACTGGCCACTCGTATCATTCTCCATATAAACTAGCTAGAATGGCCAAATTGCAATGTTCTAGTGTAAAGATTATTAACTGCCTTTTGGAACAATGTCATATTTCTTTTTCTTTGTACTACATGACTTGAAGGTTTTACTTCACAGAGTGATTAATAAATACCTAAAGTAGAAAGGAAAAAAAAATGTTTTTAAAATCCAAAGTACAGCTAAGTATTAACCTACAGGTAAAGTTAGCCAATAAATGCAGTTCTTCAGTGTTAAAAGGAAAGAGTTTACCTAGGCTCCTCCAG